ATAGAAAGCAGGAGATTTGGGGCTGGAGACACTGTTGGGGCTGGAGAGATGGCTCAATAGTTAAGAGCACTAGCCAGCTGCTCTTGCAGAGGACCTGGGTTCAGTTCCCAACTCCCACATGACAGCTAACAGTCATCTGTAACTCCAGTTCCAGGGTATCTGATACCCTCTTCTGACCTCCATGGGCATTTCAGGACACAGGTGTTTTTATATGCAATACAGGCAATACACTCATACACATAAAATAAAAATAGTAAATAAAATATTGAAAAAAAAAAAGAAAGCAGGAGATTTATCACTTCATCTTTCTACTTCAGGTTACTTACCTAGCTGTGTAATAAACTCAACAATACCTTCTCTTCTTTTCCAACAGAATCTTCCAGTAAATTATAATTTTGTTCAAAAGTATGCCACAGAAAACTACTGTAATGATTTGGATGATGACCAAAAAGACTTGTAATGTAAAACATAAACCATATATTCAAGTAAATTATTCTGAGTATGTACAATTCCAAGTATGTAAAATTCACAGATTTGAAAGGAAAGTGAAAATTACTCCTGAAACAAATCCTTCCAAGGCCACTATTTAAAGATAATTTTTTTAATTGACTACCACAATCTCAAGGAGTATTAAGCTTAACCCAAGAAATAGCTAATTATATCTAAAAGACAAATAATATTATGAAAAAACAGTTAATGTGCTTTTAGCTGTAGTTCATAAACTAAAAAAGGGTTTCCCCCAAGTATATTTCCTACCTCTACACTGTCTGCCTTAATCTCCCACAGTAGCTAACGCACAAGTTCTTCTACCTTAACTCATTTACGTAGGGATTCAAACGTGTGCTGAATAAATGACTTAAGTGAAAGAAATGAATAAATCCTCTTATAGTAATATCTTCATTTCAAGAAGAAGAAAGAGATTTATAAGGAGGAAGTTACAATTTAAGCCAATTACATACTATCCTCTTTACCTACAGCCCACAGTTCAGGGATGCATTCTCTTCCAAATAAGTACTCTATTACAATGCCCAAATTGAAAATAAAGAAAACTTTAATGACAATTGAAATGAAAATAAGCACAAAAATTATCCTTAAGAAAAAAGTAAAATGTCGTTTAGATGTAATTTTGTTTGTTAATGGATCTTAGGTATACAAAGCTAACTTATTGATTACCTTTGGTTCTAATATAGACTTATTAATGGTCCAAAGTCAGTTTTAAAAATTTGTTTCATGTTAGTAAAAGAGAATGTGGGACACAAACCATAAAGGTGGGGAAATGTATCCTCTTACAATTAGAGAAGTGTGCTATGAAGCTGTGAAATTAGCACCATGGGCCATTCACAACTCTGGACTTGAGTGCAGTGATAAGCATTATATAATTCCCAAGAAGTGACTGGTATAGTTGCTACAAAGACTGGAAGCAGGGGGTTCAAATTCCAGTATGATTTAGGGAAGTTACTCAATCCTTTTTTATGCCCTTAATTTTTTCATGTATGAAACATTACTATCTACTTTATTGCTGGGACATGGCTGTATGTTGTAAAGATTAAATTGGGTAACGTATGTGTACAGCAGCGCCCCCTTATCTACACTCTAAAGTTTCAGTTACTTCAAAGTCCACCATTCCAAAAGTAAATTAAATAGAAATAGTACATATAGATGGTCCTAGATTGAAGATTGCTTCCTGACAAGCCCATGGTAAATCAATGTATTAAACTGACAATGCAATGAATACACCCAAACTACCCAGTATCACAGCTTAGCACAACAATGCTCTTCAGAGTATCAGTTGTTTCCCAGTGTGATTACTAGGCTGACTAGGAATCGGTGCTCTCTGACACTGAACAATATCACAAAGCACACTCTCTACCGAATGTTTGTTGTTTACATGACATTATAAAAGTAGAAAAATCCTAACTCAAATCATGGTATGCTGGGACCATATGTATAGGGATCAGTACTATCTTCAGAATCAGACATCACTAGTGATCTCAGAATATATTCCTCATCGAAACAGAAAAGCTACTATACAGTATTAAACTTGTGCCTGGTACATAGTAAACACCTGTTTAAGTTACACTCACTATCAACTATCATATCCTAAAGTTAGCTAAGGAATTTCCCTTATCACATGGATAAGACTTTTAAATTCATTGTCCCATGGACCCACCTCACTACTTACAATGTTAAAATAACACACTAAATTTCAAATAACTTCATGATGTTACCTAAAAATATTTCTACACAGTTAATCTCCCCTGGTCCCTAAAACAAAAACTACTTGGCTGCTTAAAATAGAACCTAAAATCCCACAGTTCCAGGGGAATCCGAAGCCCTCTTCTGACCTCCGCAGCACTGCACGACATGGGTGCACTCACATACATGCAGGCAATATACACATAAAATAAAAATAATATTTTTTAAATGTAGAGTTAATGAGGTAACTCAGTGATAAAAATCATGCTCATGCTTATAAAAATAAGCTCCTGCATGAAATTTTGCCTTTTAATTCCTGGTGAACACACACACACAGTTCAAGCAAAGGAAATTATTACCAAAGCAAGTACCCAGGCATTCTATAAAGAACTTATAATAACCAACACCCAGCAATGTCACTGATCATTTGATAGCAGTAATAATTCAATCATATTTTATTTAGTTTCAGTCAAGTCATCAAGGAAGTTCTTACAGATAAGTGTTCTTAACACTGAAATACAAAACTATCAATTCAGGTCTCCACAAGAAGTAAGGCTACAGATCAGACGTCCCTTTATAACATCATTATCCAGTGCCTAGAATCTGAAATAGTTCAGATTCCAGAGTTCATCAATTTTGGAATATCTGCATAGTTGTCAGCAGTTGAGAGTCCCTAATCTGAAAATCCCAAATCTAAACCCTGGGAGCATTTTGAACTATTACATTTCAGAATATTTATTTGGCGGTCCAAAACTTCAAAACTAGGGACTGGAGAGATGGCTCAGCAGTTAAGAGCACTGGCTGCTCTTGCAGAGGACCCAGGTTTGCTTCTCAGCAACCACAAGGTAGCTAGCAACTGTGTATAACTTCAGTTTTGTCTCCCTCTTCTGACCTCCACAGGCACTATATGACATGGGTACACTTACATGCAGGTAATATACTCATTCACATAAAATAAAAATAATAAAATATTTTTAAAAAAGATTTAGGATCAAAAACATCTCAGATTTTAAGATCATGGATCTAACAGTATGCTTCCAATGACATTCACAAGGCAAAGGGAATCCTGAAATAGATCTCTAAAAATTTCACCAATGAGGGCTGGGAATGTAGCTCAACTGGTAGAGTGCTTGGCTGGCAGATATGAAACCCTGGGTTCAGCTCCCACATAAGCCAGTGGCACATGCCTGTAATCCCAGCACTTGGAAGGTAGAGGCAGGAAGATGAGAAGTTCAAAGTCATCTTCAACTGCATAGAAGCCAGAGTGGGATACACAGGATACTATCTCAAAAAACAAAAAAAGAACATTAAGGAGACTGGAGCAATGGCTCAGTGGTTAAGATCACTTGCTGTTCTTTCAGAGAACCAGAGTTTGGTTCCCAGAAGTCACGTTGCTGACCACTCACAACTGCCTGTTAACTTTAGCTCCAGGGGATCTGACACTTTCTAGCCTCCTCAGGTACCCATGTGCACATGCACATACACATACATGTAACACATACACACTATCTTTTTTAAATTAAAATAATTGACCAACAAAAAGCACTGTTGCCACACATGGTGGTACATGCCTCTAATCCCAATGAAAAGGAGGATAAGACAGGAGGATTGTTACAAGACTGAGACCAACCTGGGCTACATAACAAGACCTTGTCTCAAAAAAGCCAGGAAAGAAAGGAAAAATATATGTGTGTGTGTGTGTGTGTGTGTGTGTGTGTGTGTGTGTGTATGTGTGTAATATACTGTTAATCTCTAATTGTTGAGTAAACAAAAACCTTTAGTTTAGTGGGATGTTAATGTCTACAATGGAGGCTGAAGAAATGGTTCAGTGCTTAACAGCACTTGCTGCTCTTCCAGAGGACCCAAATTCAGTTCCCAGCACTCACTTCTGACAGCTCACAACCACCTGTACCTCCAGCTCCAGAGGATCCAACACCCTCTTCTGGCCTCTGTGAGCACCTGCACACATATGGCATACACAAATACACACATATACACAGATAAAAACACAAAATCCTTTCAAAAAAGTACAATGAATTTAGATCAAATATTAATATTTTCTTAAATACATTCAATGTTAACTTTAAAATCTCCTTCCAGAAGTGCCCTCATTACATACACACTAAGGAGTGCAAACATGATAAAGCAATGTCTCTCCAAATCACAATTCGGAGTATCTAAAATAAACTTACCTTACACTGATGTAAGGTACTACATCAATGTCAAAGAACAGCCACACACACAAGTCTCCTCATCCAATATTCTACTTAAGGGCCAAAATTTACTGTTAAGCTATACCTTCAACTGCATAAAATGACAGCAATAACATACAACAGATCTGCACTAAACACATCTGCACCAAAACTCTCCAGAACAGCATCTATAATTCCAGCATTTCTGGAGACAGAGACAAGAAAGATGATGACAGGTTTGCAGCCAGCCTGAGCTATATGGCAAGACCCTATCTTTAAAAAGAAAATCATAACACATGACAGGAAGCTATACTACAAAACAGCAGAAATAGTAATTGCTAGGTTTGCTAGCTCCTACTATGGGTCATGAAAATCTGTCTCATTCCTGTCTAATGGTTAACGGAAACAAAATGGAAAAGTAAAACGTTCTTAAGAGTGATCCGCTTCTCTCAAATTCAAGTGTTAGCATTTCTAAGCCCATTAAGTTCTTAAGTTCTCATAGCTAGAACTCAAAAAGCCCCAGAAGTAACTTGAACATCTATTTAACTTCCCAGAAGTGTGAATGGGTAGCATTCTTATCTTCCTGTGAACACTGATGCACATGTTTCTTACCTTATCTTTCTCATGTGGAAGCAGTGAGACTGGAGGTAAAGAGGAAAGCGACTCGCAACTCTCTTTCCCGTCAGCACTAGTTGCCTTACTGTTGAGCCGATAGAGAGGTCCAACTTTAAGGAGTCTGCCATGACCAACTGCACGTTTGATAGCCAATCGTAGCTGCTGGTGAAAGCCAGAGGCAGTGCTGCCTCCAAATAAGGCAGACACATCCTTCTGACCTTTCAAAAAGCGTTCAACACTTTTCAAAGTTGAGCCACCAGACTCTGCCAAGCCTTCAAATGCCCGTTTGATCAATTTATTCCAATCCACATTTTGTTTATTATCCAATTTTCCATGGTTTCGAGGTTTAGGAAGTGCTATTCGTCCAGGATTATCAGGATCTTTGTAGGAATTGAGACCTTTGTTTGAGACTTTTAAAATCGTTCCATCTTTAACACTCAACTCCAACTGTTCTAAAACAGTTTTGCGATCCAAACCATGGGATGAAGACACTGCATTGCATATCCTTTCTTCGGACGGTCGCTGTTTCTGCTTCTTCACTTTTTTGATGGCTTCCAAAATCCACTCCGTGTACAGCGGGTTAGCGAGTTTTACCATGGTGAAGGATTCTGTATATCCATAGAGTCGTTATCCCTTATCCTGATGCTGAGCAAGTCTTACACCATAGAAAACAAGATTCTCGGAGGCTGGGAACCAGTTAACCATAGCATACAAGTTTTCTGGCCTGAGTCCTTCCTCCTTTCACAATATGAAATTCTGTCCCACTTTTACCTTAGAAACCAAAGCAACTGGTTATCTTCAAACTTTCCAATAGCAACACACATTGGTCTCTTCATAAAGTAATTCCATACATCTCATTCCCAGCTTCCAAGCAGAAAATGAGCATCTTAAACCTGAAAAGCAATTAAAACAATATCAGTTTTCTATCAAGGCCCATTCTGTAAATAAACTATAAATTAAAATGTCCCAATCTCTTTTAAAAAAACTCCAAAAGCAAAGTGTTTATCAAGCACCCCATGAGTTTTAATAAAGTTCTATTAAACATTCCAAAACAATCAGTGGAAACCACTAGAATTAAAAAAAAAAAAAAAATCAAACTAAAAAAAAGAGGTAAGAGTAACTAAGGTAAGAATGAGATGTTTATGAATCTTAAGCTACAACTAACCAGAGCGCTGGCTATTTTGTCCTCCGCAATCTGTGCTCACCAGTCTATGGACTTCAACTCTTCCTCCACATCTTTCCCCAAGAAACTATTCAGTACTTCAAAAAGTATCTGCATTAGTAGAAAGAATCCTGAAATAAAAGAGTGAATCTTTCACCTTTCAAAAGTTCAGTCATCCGGAACAGTTGAAAAAACAGGCAATCAATAAAATGTACAGAAAACTACTGAGAAAATTTTAATTAAATCATATACTAAAATTATTAAGAAATCATGATTCACATACCACAACTTTAAAGTGAGGATATGACGTTAATGCAAACAAAAACAATGAAAACAGCCTACTGTGAAAGTGCTAAAAATTTTAAAATAATCCAATTTCAAAGTTTCATTAATATGAAGAAGTAAGTAATATGGAAGGAATAACAACTGTCAAACTGCTTATAAACAATGTACAGATAAACTAGAAATGGAAAAGGTCTACAACCATTGGGATCAAATGCACATATTACATACATGTCAAACATACAGTATACAAAAAACATATTAGCCTATTTGTTGGTCTAGAGAGAAATGGATCTGATCTTGTATGTGAATTCAAGATTGTTATCTCAAAGTAAACATTAGTCAGTAGAACAAATACATTGCCTTTCTGGGTCAAAAGCCATCAATATTCCTTCAAGACAAAAGAATCTAGCAATTAACACATTTTGAAATTGTTAAAATAATGACTTCTAAACCTTTACCTCCAAAACTAAGTTTAACTTTACTTAGTGTTTTGTCGGAACGTCTGTTATTCTTGGGAGCGTGTACAATATAGGGAAAGCTAGGGAGAAAAGGGTACCTCAGCAACTACTCTTTTTGGGGGAGAAAAAAGGGTTTATTTGGCTTACAGGTTACCCATCATCAGGGGACACCAAGGCAGAAACCACATGGAGAAGCTGTTAGTTATCAGCTTGCTTCCATCGGTTTGCTCAAGGCTTATACACCTCAGACCCACTTGTCCAGAGATGGTACTGCCCACCATAGTCTGGGCCCTCATACATCAATCAGCAATTAAGAAAATGCCCACAGGCCAGTCTGACAGAGGACATTCCTCAATTGAGGAGTTTCTCTTCCTAGATGTGTCAAGTTGGCCACCCATAAGCCATCCCACTTGCCTTGCATTTCAAACTTCCCTCAACTATTCTTAACGACATTAAAAGCAAAAGGAAAACTGAAACACATTGGGAAAGAGACAGTACTATTAATTCTGATAAGAAAGCAAAGACAACTTGGAGTAAAGTTCATTTTAAATTTAGCTGACTTAAAGGAAGTCCCCTGAAAACGCTTCATTTTTGTTAAGGTGTCAAGAGAACAAATATCAGATTACCCAAGAAAAGTTCATTATTCAGACATGAACGCTAAACTAGAAGAGAAACAAGGGTCTAAGAAGCTGGGAATGTTCCATCAGATTACGCTTTCAGGCTAAAGAATGAATGACAGCCAGTCATTGTCTTTCCGGCCGGAAGTTTCATCCAGGTCTGCAGAAAGCAAGGCGCTGCGGACCCGAGCCTTAACTCTCAGAAAGTACACGAGCGGTCAGAGAGAAAGAGCGAGCGGCTCCGAAGCCCTTCCCGCTGCGTTCCCCACCCCCAAACACATCTTCGCGCTCTCTTTTTAAAGAGCGAGAACTTTAAAAACTTGAAATTGCACAGCCCTGCGGTTTGCCAATGGGCTGCTTCGGCGTCTCCATTCTGTGGAAACACAGCCCGAAGAGTAAGTTAACAATGAAATCACGTGGAGTTGGAGCTCAGTGCGCTCCGTTCCCGGCTCGGCAAACCGCGGCTGGAGGGGCCGCCTCCCCGGCCCAGACCGAGGACGCCCGCTGCGGCCGAGCCTGACAGGTCGGGCGGGTCCGGCCCAAAGCCGCCGAGGTTGACAGGCAGCCCGCCGCCTCCCGCCACGGCCCGGAGCTGACAGCCCACCAGACGCCACACCACACGTGCTGCCTGTTCCGCACCACAACACCCGCAGCCTGTCACCTCCCGCTTCAGCCTGGCCGGGTCTCCGCGCGATCCGCTGGTACGACGGGGAGCGCTGGGCGCGGGGAGCGGCGGGCGGGCTGCGGGCGCGCCCCCGAGGGAGAGCGGGCTCGCCCGCACGACCGACCCCAGGCTCC